GTTTTCCATTTTTATTATTTGATAATTTCTTGTCTTCATACGATTATGTCAATTAAGTCTATATTAAAAATTGATTGCGATTGTAACTACCTGATCCATAAACGTAAAGCCAAGCAACGATAAGAAAATTTCGATTTTCTGATTGGAATATTGATTAGCGAGTAGCCGACGACCCGCTCAACCATTGCCCAAATAATGACGGCAATTATGGTTTCTCATTGATAATGAGTCGGGCATTAATTAATTGCGTATCACAAATATACACATTACATACAAATAAAAATCTTAAGAATTGACTGATTTGTTGTATCAATCAGTCGCAATGCTATCAAATGTTTTGCTGTCTGTCGATAAGGTTCGCCGCCAATATGGAATGCTGCGTACACGGGGCGTATGATTGATTTACAACGCACTTGCGAACTAGCAGATTCCCCTATTTCGTTTGTTGTTGTCGTTGTTGTTTCTGCTGTTCGAGCTGTTGTTGTGGGTGACCTGTTTGGCTATCTAATGTTATCTTTGCACCGTGCTGTGCTCAGTTTTGTTATCTTATCTCACATGCTTTGTACATGGCGCGAGCAAATTAAAGCGCCAATTGCTAAAAACAACAACAAAAATACTGGTAAAAAAAAGACGTTAGTTCAATGAATACGAAAAAAGTAATGCACACAATCGTTTTTTCCTCTGGAAGTGTTTTTTATTTTTTTAGCTAATTATATTGTTGTTTTTTTTTACCTAGATGCGTCAGTTGTGTGTTTTTGCTTGCTGACACCGTTTCAATTTTAAATAAACACTAAAAACTAAATAAAAGTCGAACCAGTAGACTAATAAAGTAAAATATGAGGCAAGCAAAGAATTAACGAGCTTAGCAATTGGGTTTTTTCCTTTTAGTGCGCCTTGATCAGCAGCAGGGCCAGGGCCACGACGCCAGAAATCATGGGCAGCGACTGGGCGGCCGAGTTTCTGGTGCAGCTGCGAAAGGAAAAGAAGAAGAAATTTGTTTCATATTAAAATTCATTTCTTGTCGAATTCAAATATTGCTTATACTCCTAATTATACTATAAAACACTCAACAGTTGAATTGTGCAGCACCTAATGGAGTTTTGCAACACTATACGTTGAGTGTTGTGAAATACATTTTGGAGCATAGTAATTGTGCAGATATTTGGCAGTTTTCAGAATTTGAATTTATATCCGTTTCTGAATTTATGTAGAATTGTGAATTGTTGGTAACTTACCCCTGTTGTGTGATATTGGCATAGGTGTTGTTCAGGAAATTGTTGTACAATGGGAAAGCACCATCGTTGACCAACTTAATGCCCGCAGCTGTGTATTTATCGGGAATGCCCAGAATAAATCCGTAGCTGGTGCTGTTATCCGAGGCATTGGTATATCCGCAGCCCGTGACGTAGGTGTTGTTGACAATTTGCAGCAGCTTGATGAACACGGGTGACTGGGCTGCGCTGCCCTGGTAGAAGGTGACGTTGTAGCCAGTCTTGGCGTTGGCCACCAGCGTCACATTGGCCGTCTCGTCAATGTTCTGGAACAGCGACGTGGCGGAGCTCGAGTGCGAGGCATTGATGCTCAGCGTGACTTTGTCGTCTTTTAGGCCCACCGTGAACTCCAGGCAGGCTTTCGCATCGCCAATCGGATTGCGGGCCACCTCCTGCCAGGTGCCGAACAGCTAAAAAATTTGCGAATTCACGAATGCAGCTGTTATAACTATTCCACTTGGGCTCAGACCGCAACACTTACTGCCGTATTATTCCAGTCCAAGCTCTCGGCGATTGCGCTGCAATTCTGTGGCCCAGTCGCTGCTGGCGTATCTTGGGCAGAGACCAGGGCCAAAGTGGCTACGAGCAAAATCACAAACTTCCACATGATCACTGTTTTGGCTTTTTTTTGTTTGGGTTAAGGGGGTTCTGCTTTCTTAGCTTATCACTGCACTTAGATGTAATATCCTGACCGACACGTTGTCTAGCCTCGGTTCGCTTCGGTTCGGTTGACTCGTAAAACTGTCGCTGCGCCCTTTGCTGTGGTGTCTTTTATAGCTATGGCAATCAGATACACACTACGTATCTGTGCTGCGCCTTATCAACACCCACACACACGCACACACGCACACACACACACACACAGTCAGTCTTCGGTGCAGCTTACTGTCTGACTCTGGCTGACGTCTCTTATCGCTATCCATTTTGGCACAGTATCTATAGTCTGGAAGAGTGTAGAAATTCGAGTGTTTCGTGCTATGACTAAGCGCATTGGCTTAGGTTATCACGCACGCCCATGTACCTGTAGTTAATCAAAAATTTCCCCCTTTCTTGCACAATTGTCAAACTTTTAAGCTTCTAATTGCGTACATGTGCCATCCAGGTGAATTCGCTCCATAAATATAGCAGCGTTGACTAATGCATTAGAGCAAATAAGAGAGTATTTTTGAACTTATCAGCTGAATATTTTCTATCAGCAGAACATCAATTTATCTACTCATAAATTGTTTATACTTCAGTTATGATATCATTCGTTTTATCTTATAAAGATATACAATTTCCGCTTTTCAAAATATATCTGATATGTCAATGTGTAATTTTATTTTATTATTCGTATATTTTACCCATTTATTTATTTATTCCCTTGCAAAAGGTTTTATACATTTTCATTGAATGTGTTATAGTTGGGATTTTAAAGATATTTTGAGATCTTGTTAAATTATATACTCTGCTAGCGAGTGCGCAATCGATTTCTTTAATTCACATATACATGAATATTAACAAATTATAAAAAAGAGTTAAAATTGACAATTGCTCCGTGAGCTGAACCGGCGACTCCCCACATGTTAGTGCGACGCTCAGGCAGCTAAGCTCTTACGGTTTTAGCTATGCGTTCGTTAAGATACATCGATGTATATAAACATTTTTTCTCCACAATTACTCACTTCTTACTCATTGCCTAGGAATCTGAAGCAAGCAATAAACCTGGAACAAAAACGTTTCAGACAAAGAGCTCATTATCACTTCTATTGCACGAGGCAAACGTTTCAAAATGGGATACAAAATTCCCCAAAAGCATTTAAAATTAATTATTTAAATAGCAATAACAGTCTTTGTACACCTATTGGTATAAGTACATATGCTTATATGTGCGTAAATTGGCTGTTAAAAAATAAAATAAAATAAGGTCTACTCCTATAAATCAGAGGTCAGTTGTGCTTATCAGAGTTGAAATACTGTGTCTATCTATTCACATATCGGTTAAATATTTTAACTATGTATGAGAGGCATTTGGCAGAAAAAATATAATATAAATTCTACACATACATGCATAATAAACTTATTTGTAAAATGTTTACCAATTATATAAAGAAAAAAAAGCACAGCTCCAAATCGAATTGTTTCTTTTATTGATAAGAAGGGGAATAACTCACGCGATAGCCTTCTTCTAGGTATTTCCTTATCATCAATGTAAGAATAATATGCTATCAATCTATTGTTAAATGTTTGCAATGAACATCGTACACTAAAATCCGTTTTAACTTTTATGATTAATTTTTTTTTGCCTCAATCCTGATTATTATTGTATTCATATTGTATTCATTCTCATAGATTGTTCAGATTGGCATATATATAAAGCTGTTTGAGGTTCCGACATAATTTCGCACGACATATCTACGCCGATCCACAGGAAAAGGCCACATAATTCGACAGTCAAATGACTTTAATCAACTTGGTTTTATTTTGTTAGAGTCGAATTTACAATTGGATTTTATAAATGTCAATCAAGAGAGAGAGTCCAAAAATGGCACAACTTAGATTATCGTAGGTCAGGCTTTATTAAGCTATAGTCAAAGGGTAGTTATTTGGCGGATAGGAGAAAAAGGTCCCACGGGTGGGAAAAATGGACCGGAATATAATGAATATATATGCAGCTAGTATACTTGCGCCATATCCTTATCATTTTGTGAGTCATAAAAGTAAGCACATATCGTATTTTACAATAAGAACCCACAGATAGCGCACAAAGCTGATAAATTGCGAACAGCGTGACAGAACTAATTACCAGGCAGACGGACAGATATGCTTAGCAATTCGCAGATATTGCTATATCTCTGTATATAAAACTATTTGTCCTGAATGACCGAATAATCGGTTATCAGCGCACATCCCAAGCCGCAACAGCTAGGAATCTGAAATTTTCATTGTAATGCAATGAAAGGCTTTCGGGAAATTCTACTCGCAAATGTGGAAAATTGCGAAAAATTATTGTATAAGCCAAAACATAAAATAAACTTAATTAACGCTTTAGCATTGGATAAACAGCGCTTGCCAAGCAATTTATCGAATATGTGTTTTATCTCTTCTCAATTCTTACCCTTTTTGTATGGTAAATGCGGGTCAAAGGTTGTACGAACTAAAGTTTATTTTTTGACTTGAAGATTCTCACCACGAGACTCAAATTTCGAAAAATGTTGATTCCAACTTCTGGCTCTAAATTTGATTGACTTCAAGCTGATTTTTAATAACTATGTAAAGCAGAACTGGGACGGGGAGTTCAAGATAATACGGTTCGATTTCAGTTTCCCACGGGCGGAAAAGTTGGCAGTTTATGTCTAAAGTATGTAGCAAAAAACCTAGACCAGACTAGGTGGGGAGATGCCAGCTAGTATATGCAGTATCAGGTAGTATTATAGCGTGTTACGCAACACTAGAAACAATTTATATTTTCTAAATAGAAATGTCTTCGGAGCTTATTTATTTTATATAAAAAGAAAATTATTCGAAGTAAGTTTTTAAAGATAATGCATTTCTTACAAAAGCTATTTATTAGTTTTTTTTTCTTGAGGAAGAACATATTGCATTTACTTGTAATGCCTTTGTAAATGAAAACCAAATAAAATGCATTGCCTGTTAATATGGTAATTCAGACGGGCAATTAATTCGTTACATAACAAAATAAAAAAATAAATTCGACATTTTAAATGAATCTAAACGATTTCTAAACTCATTTATTAATTTGCTTTAATTCTTTTGTTATAATAATTCAAATGTTTTTATATTAAGGTTTTATTAGAAGTGTATTTACCAACAATGTAAACAGCTAGACCCATTCCTACTAAGTAATATTGCTTTACAAAAATTGTTTGGAAAACTATTTGGTTAGGAGGTAAATAACCGTGGCAAAAAGAGCATAGAATACCGTAAAAGCCGTTGAGGGATCAGCACCATTTCCCTCACAACTGTGAACAGAGATACAAAAAGATATAGTATATATTTATAGGACATGTGATAAATGCCAAATGCTCGAACGCTACTCACGTGCCGTCTTGTGTGATTAGAGACATGCTGCCATTGAGGAAGTTATCATAATTAGCGGAACTCTGACTCTCGAGCTTATCCAAAAGGGTCGTTGAGACCGTTCGATTTCTGGCGACAATCATGCCAAAGGCCGTCGAGTTATCTGTGGCATTGGTATAGCCGCAAATGAAAGCGTAGTCCGTATAATCAGTAGCCAAGACCTTGAAGACTGTGTAGGGCGTATAGACAGGGGGATTCCAGTAGGTAAAGTTGTAGCCATCCGGCGAGGCGGTGGCATTAGCAACCGTCAGTGTTGCATTCATGGTCTGATTGACCCACGGATAGGTATACGTATTGGAGTAGGTTGTATCGATCAGCACATTATCAACGGTTGTGTTCAACACTGTAAAGTTAATTTTTGTGCAGAACATGGAACCAACCGGTTGACGTACAATCTCCCACCAAATGCCCGAGAACTAAGTACGAGCAAATACTTGAGTAGCTTTACGAATATGAATCATTGAAGATCATCTGATATTCACGTACCTTCTCCAGATCGAGGGCTATGCTGGTGCTCACATTGCAGGCCACGGGAATCGTGCCGTCATCATCTGCCTGCACCGTGTGACCACAGAGCAGGCCCAGCAAGAGGAAGACCGACAGTAGGCTCAGTTCCCATTTGTTGGCGTTTGAAGACATTCTGCAAATGCTTTGCGTGTGGCTTGTTTTCCGTTACCGAACCTTCTGACTTTCAGCTGTCCACTGAACTGGCAGCAACTCATCATTTGCGCTAATTAGCTGCTAATTAATCATATGCTATCATTGCTGTGATAAAAGTAGATTTGCATGCAGTGTTGGTTAACACGCAAAGTCCAAGCCAACATGCAACAATTTGGAACATTTGCCTCATGTGACGGCAACCGGTTGAGCACTTAATACCCACAACTGCAATTACTTTCGACTGCCGCCGAATTCAAGTTGTGTAACGTTTGATATCGTCTTGAACTTTGGTGATAAGTAAGTTGATAGTTGGCAATTGAAGTGGCCTGCAAACATTTGGACTTGAAGGCCCAAGCGCCACATAAATACTTCTATATATGTTTTTTTATGATAAAAAAAAACGCCACAGGGCTGTCACAATGGGAGCAATGGAAGCGATATAAGGCGAAATGAGCTCAGGGTTTGTTTAACAAAACAACGCTGCTTGCATTAGTCTAATAATTTAATTTTTTAAAAGATATTTTATATTATTATTTACTTTATACATTCAGGCGAGCTATTGTGTTATAGAGATAATTAATTAACATTTCCAAGATTTTTTATTTTTTTTTTATTATGGTGTCTTTTTCGGTGTTGAGCAACGTTCAGCGAATTTTTTTTTACAAAGCTGTCAATTTCTATATATTCGTATATTCTTTCGGTACGATTTCGGCCATCGACCTAAATTTTACAGTGTTAAACAACAGCCCAAGCATGTATAGAACTAACGGTAAGCAGTTAACGGCAACTTGTAGCCATGTTGTCTTGTTGAACACTTCACAAGCAGGTCGAACAGCTGCCAGGCACATTAATTTTAAACGACTTACAAGCTTTAGTTATAAGATCTTAAAATAGCAAAGTATAGCGAGAAAGAGAGGGCGACAGCGAGAGGGAGGCTCACAACTTTCTAGTACAGTTGACACACATTTACAGTTATTTGGACATGGGCGGCTAAATGGCACCCGAGACGACCAAAAACTTTCGGCACTCCAAACATATTTAAACTAGTGAGAGAAGCCTGTGCCACGCCCACATCTACACATGGAGTGTGCCTTAACTTTATTCGAGGTGGGAACTCCTGTGCCCGTTATTTAATTAAAAACTATTGCCAGTTGTGCCAAAAAAGTTAACAAACGTGTTTTTCGGCTCATGTCTCACATGTCTTAATTATTTAATTGGGCCATGTGTGAAATTCTAATGAATAGAAGCCCTCTACCAAAAACCTATATACATCTATATATATATGTATATCTGGCACACTGGGTGCGAAAAGTTTTGATTAACCTAAAGTGGAGAAGCGCACAAAATGCAACTCTGGGCAAAAGTGCAGAATAACTTTTGTAGAGCGATAAACGTAATTAGTTTTATAGTTGGAAAGCGCATGAAATTTCAATTAGCAATTAGATAATTTTACAAATATCAAATGATTTTAGAACCAACCGTAAATATATATAAATAAATGTACAGATATTCGATTAACTACTATCTACATCTGCTGCATCACTTGATTAATAATAGCAAAACAGGAAAGTATTTCCACGAAATATAAGATACTGAACGCAGTTGATAATAAAAATGTTTTATTGTTCCCCGAACTCGCTCCGATAACATAATAATTCAGGAGGATTTTATTGCGAATGTCATTAAGTGTTCAAAAAATATCTGACAGCAGATAAGTTCGTGGGTGGTGGCACGAGCTGGACGAATCCGTCAGCATTAAAAACTATTCCAAACATATCGAAGCCGCGTGATAAGAGCTAATAAAAGGAAAGATCTCAAGTTAAATGTATTTCTTGTAGCCTTGCCACACTTTTTATTTGAGAAGTTTTGCAATTCTGGAGGCTGAAGCTTAAAGCATTTCAGTGTTAATAAATGCTTGAATAAGTGATCGAAAAAGTTTGGGGTCCTGGAGTTTAAGGCTATTCAGTGTTAATTAATGTCGAACAAAAAAAAAATTGACGTTGCTTTTTGCGTGTTTCGCAGCGCAAACATGATTTTGATTTGTTTTTTTTTGTGCCAAGCTCAGTTTTTCAGTGCTTCGATATGTCTGTGTGATGAGCGACAAATTCAAAAATATATTTTCATATGTAAATATATGCGCAATAAAATGCAAAATATTGAATTTAAATTGGGCAAATATTATTAAACAAAATTTGTATATTTACCATTTGAACACCTGTCTACGTAAATGCACTACGTTTCTTGTCGCTCTGTATGTATGCAGCATATTCTGCTCTCCTGCTGCTGACTGTGTATGTACATACGTATGTATGTATGTGTATGTACATATGTGCACTGTGTGCGTTTGTTTATATGTACTGGAGGCACCGCAAAGTGCCTAAGTCTTCTTCTTTTTTTTTGCTTGCATGCATTTGCGCTCAGTCATAAGGAAATTGAAAGCTGCTCACTAATTGGCATACTTGATAACACACCTACACACGCTCTCTCAGGCACACACACACAGACGCCGACTTGCCAAAAGTAAGTGTGCATGTATTTAATTACTCAACAAGCTTTGATGCTTTCATTAACAGCTCACCTTGGAGTTAAGTTTGCCTGCAACTGTAACTGGCTCAAGTGCATATCTCGTGCTCCAACCGCAGCAGAGTGCGAAGGCACACACACTCACGCACACACTCACGCACACAGGCGCAACCCAGGAAAATAATTAAGTTGTTTATCTTAATGCGAGCATTTCTCTTGCTGCAAGTAACTGTTAATTACACTCTGAGCGCTTTATGCAAAAGGAGAAAATAGAAGAAAAAACATGTGGCAGAAGCGCAATGCAAACTTTCTATTAAAAGGAAACTAGCACCAGACGCACATGCACACACACACACACACACACACAGACACAGACGCACACACACACAGACATATGAGCCTTGTCTGCTTTTACCTCCAACTCTCCTTTAATTTTGTGGGCTCTGCCAGCTCAAGTGCGCATTGCGCAAGCCAATTTAAATTTTAAAATAAGCACATTAACTGCATCGCATCGCTCTCACTCACTCACTCTCTCTCTCTCTCACACACACACGCACGCGCACATATTTATTATGCTGCAGATTTATGTCTGTTGCTAGCTTCCTATTCTTACGCTGTGCAGGTCCCGTTCACAACTCAAGCAGCACATGTTTACATTATGTTATTAACATACTGTTAAAAAGAGCCTCCATCGATCCTGCTGTTAAAAGCCTCTTCATTCCAGTTATTAAGTTTGTTGCCTTGTTTTGTATTCATAATTTGATTTTAATTATTATCCATATCTGCTTATAGAGAGGGGAACTAATTGTTAAATGGTTTTACAAAAAATTTATAAACTAACTATATTTGGCATAATTGCTAATCATTTAATTTAATTGATATTAATGTACGATTAACTGGCGTTTAACATTATAAATTCGATTAAATCGTTTTCGCTTTTTCATATTAAAGACAATTGGAATACAGAGCCTCCTAATTCTTTTAGTTATACAAAAATTAGCTTCGGTATACTTAGGATCTTGTATAGACCCAATGCTGATATGCTGTCAGAGTTCTCATAACAAAATGAAAGTTAACAAAAACAAATTTATTTACAAATCATTTCCTTGTTTTTATGTTAACACAAATACTTAGAAAGTTATCGATTAACAGTAGAGTTGTATTCCTTATTTATCAGTATAGTTTTCTTTCTTTCTTTTTTTTGGAAGAACTACAGCATTTTGTTTTACGATTTATTATTGACTTGTCATATGTACAGAAGATGTCGATAAAAGTATTTCTGAGTTTAATGATAGTTTAATTTACGCACAGTAAAAATTGTTTTTGTACTGATATTGATAGTATCGGAAACCAGGTGTGCTATATTACATAAATGCGGGTCTCTAAGCCCAAATCCCAAATTGATATGTAATATTCAAAATCAAGCGATGGGCGGGAAATTAAAAGACTAGGATGTTTGAAGCAGAGCTCAAATATAAGAAGTCTAAGTGTTATATATATGTGGTTATATATCTAGTTTGAATATATGTATACATTTATAGGGTTATCTGGCTGCTCGAATTCGATAGCTTTTTTTTGTCACTCGTTCAATGATTGTGCTTCTGCATAATTTTCAATATTTCAACTTTTTAGCTTTAGCTTTAGCTCATTACGTTTTTTATTAATTTTTTTTTTTTAGTTAGGGTATTCGGTATGTAGATATCCAAAAATCACAACGACTTGAACTGTTAGTGAAGCATTTTCTATGGCAAGGACAGGAATGCTCAGCTGATGAGGGGAATGAGATGTATGCTAAATGCTACCAATCCTAACTCTTAGTTTTATGGTTTAGATATTTCTATGTACAGCATGGGCTCAAGTTCTAGTTTTATTATATGTATATATATATATATATGTATAGACTACTAATTATAGGATACATTGCATTGTGCTCATAGTATATGAAAATTTAACATTCGCATCGTACAGTTCCTTAGCATGTCCTAAATGGCTATGGCTGTGGAGTTCTTATTTGTCTTATAGGTTATCGCATGCTATTTACAGTTCTGATACAACCTAGCAAGTGTTTCAATAGGCGGGGGCCATTAACATTTGGGGTAGCCCCTCACTTAATACTGCGGCTTCACTCGATTTACCTAATGGGTGTTTAGTTTCACACAGTTTACAAGCGTGTCATCAACTATGTTAGTTCATATATAATACAGTTTATTGTTTTTGCATTGGGGTAAATATGTTTTATTATTTAGTTTTAGTTTTAATATGTAAACAGTCTTGTAAGAGCCTTTTAACAGAGCAAAGGCTACATGAAATGCAATTTCTTAGCTGTAAAAAATAAAAAGGGCTGAAAAATATGCGAATATCAAAAGAAATCAAAAATAAATCAGTGAATATGTTAAGCAAATGTAAAGTTTAACATTAACATATTGTATCGCTTAAGAGAGCGCTTCAACATTCTGTTTACGTCTTGCATTTAAGCTCCGAGCCTAAAAGCATGCTACACATTATTGGCAGCAG